AGCCTATAAATAAGAAAGATCACTAACAAATGAAAAAAAAGATATTTTTTTAAATCTGCAACTCAAAATTATGAAAGGGTCCCTTGATGGATTAGAAACCATGAAGACCTTCTAAAGATAAAATGCTGGTGAAATGCTGATGCGTATTGGGTTGAAGAAAACACAATCCAAAATGTGGATGGGACAGCACCAGGCCCAGAGGAAGGAGTGCCTGGGAGCTGGAGGGGACCAAGACAACTCAAACAGAGAACCACCAAGAGGAGCAGTGTTTGGTTTCTTCTTACATGTGGGTGTCAGGAAGCCTCAAATAAATGGAGGGGATTTACCCAGGGTCTCCCAGAACCCCATCCAGGCTGGCGTTTTGCCTTCAAGTCCCCCTCCACTTCCACCTCGTGGTCATAGCAGGACACTGCCTGCCTCAGCTTTCTTCTCATCACCCGGCCCTTAACTCTTCACTGTTTGGCTTTGAACCCAGCCCTCGGGTAAGGCAACTCTCAAGGGCTCCCAGGAACCTCAGTGTTGCCCTCACGACCTTTTCTAATGTCTCTGTAGTGTATACCCTCCCTCTATCTCCTGCTTTTCCCCAAGTCTCCTGCTGCCTCTCTCACCACTCCTGCCCACTGGTTCCTTGTTTTATCCCAACCTCTTAAGCATGGGTAATTTCCTAAATTCCATCCTTGGTTTGCTTTCTCTCTCTCTGTGCACAGGCTCTCTCTGAGTATCTTTTACCCTTCCGTGCTTCAAGTTTTATTTTATTCAAATGACTTCCAAATCTACGTGGCTAGCCCTAAGCTCTTTCTCCAAGCTTGAGATTCACAGATGGTAGCCTATAAATAAGAAAGATCACTAACAAATGAAAAAAAAGATATTTTTTTAAATCTGCAACTCAAAATTATGAAAGGGTCCCTTGATGGATTAGAAACCATGAAGACCTTCTAAAGATGAAATGCTGGTGAAACGCTGATGGGTATTGGGTTGAAGAAAACACAATCCAAAATGTGGATGGGACAGCACCAGGCCCAGAGGAAGGAGTGCCTGGGAGCTGGAGGGGACCAAGACAACTCAAACAGAGAACCACCAAGAGGAGCAGTGTTTGGTTTCCATAAACCGACCCCTGCCCACACTCACACAGACACCAGCCAGTCAGAAGTGACCAGGACATCTCCCTCCTGGCAACATGGTGGACGTGGGCTGGAGTCAGAGAGATAAGGCAGGGTCCGGTACACACCAGAAACTGGAGCATCCATGCCACAAGACCAGCCATGGCCACCTCCCTGTTCCCACCTGCCAACCCTCTCCTTCCCCATTCACCCCCATCCCACTGTTTTCCTAAGCAAGTGGCACAAGCAGATACTAGAGAGCACCACTCAGCTCCAGTGAGGAGCACAGTCAACAGTCAGCACACTCTTGAGTAAGGCCAACACCACGAAAAAATGGAGCAGACAACAAAAAGGAGCGGTCAGAAGCAAAGCTTATTCTCAGCAAGACCTAAACATAATCCAAATGCTCAGACCGGTAAGTGAGGGTCTGGCATCCAAGAAACAAGAAGCAGGCCGTGCCGAAAAAGAACCAGTGAGAACCCTTGAAAATAAAAAATACCATAAAGGAAATAAAAAAATTAAGCTGATGAGCTGATAACAAAGTAATAACAGTTTGTAAGTATTACTGAGTTGGAAAATCGAGCTGAGGAATTCTTCTGGAATGCAGCACAAAAAGAGGAAAATATGAATTAATTTAAGAGATGTGGAAAATAAATTCTAAAGTTCAAATCTCCTTCTAACAGGTGTTCCAGAAAAAGAAAAATAGAGTAGAGAGGGAATTTTTAAAGAAATGTTAAAACTAAAAATTAGAATAGAAGATAATGTAATGTTGTGTTCCCACTAATCAGTACTAATAATTTATAATGTTTTACTGGATGTGCTTCAAGTAATATTTTTAGAGAAATAAAGCTACAGATAAAACTTATGGTTCTTCTGAGGCAATACCACTATAATGAATTTATAGATCTTTCCAAGTCCATTTTATAGATATACACACACACATATATAGGGGGAAGCCCATTGTTATGTAATACACATGTGTACCATACAATAAATGGGCTTTCTCAACGGCTCAGCTCAGAGGTTCACCTGCCTGCAAGCAGGAGATGAGGGTTCGATCCCTGGTTCAGGAAGATCCCCCGGAGTAGGAAATGGCAACCCACTCCAGTATTCTTGCCTGGGAAATCCCATGGACTGAGCCTGGCGGGCTACAGTCCATGGGGTCACAGAATCAAACACGACTTAGCGACTCAACAATTGAAACAAATACAATGCCGTTGCATGTAGCTTTAAAGTTTACTTAAGTAATAATATACTGCACATATGTTGTTATAACTTGGGGTTTTCACATAAGAGTGTTAAGTTTTAGCTTTCTCCTCATTTATGGAGAGTAAACCAGTTAATTTCTCTGGACTGCTATAGAATGTCTCATTGTATTACTGACTATACCACATTTTTATATAGTATTTTATCTATAGATGGATTTATGCAATAGTTCAAATTTTTTTTACCATCATGAACAATGAAACAATATAAAAATATGTGTTTTAGGCACTTGGGTGAAGTTTTCCAAGTATGTATCTAAAAGTAGAGCTGCAGAGTGATAGGATATCCACATTTCCAATTTTACTACATTCTGAAAAACTGCTCTTCAATTTATACTCCAATAAGTAGTATATAGCTGTCCCCACTTTTCCTCAACTTCACCAAGACTTAATATTTTCATACTTGTAATTTTTCCAGAACGATGGATAAGAAATTATACCTAATTATAATTTTTATTTGTATGACCTTGATTTCTAGTCAGTTTGACCACCCTTTCATAGTCTACTGGCCATTTGGGATTCCTTTCCTGTGAATTGTCTCTTTGCCATTTTTGAAATTGATATTTAATTGACATATAACATTATATTCGTTTCAGGTGTATAGCATAATGACTCAATATATTGCAAAATGATCACCACAAAAAGTCTGGTTAATATTCATATATACACATTAACTATATAATTTTTCTTTTGTTGGATACTTTTAAGATCTACTATCTTAGCAACTTTCAAATATACAATACAGTATTATTAAGTATGGTCACCAGCTATACATTATATCCCCAAGAATTATTTATCTAATGACTGGAAGTTTATACTTTTGACGCCCTTCACCCATTTCACTCAGCCCCTCCACCTCCTGAATCCTTTTTTCAGTTGCATTTGTAGTGTTTTATCATATAAATGTTTAAATTTTTACATAGTCAAATTTATCCTCTGGTGAGAGAGATATTTTTTTAAGGAATGAATATTTCTTTTTTTATAGTTCCAAAACTAAAAGGGTTTTTAAGGCAGTATTTTATTTTATTTTTCTGTTTTATTTTATATAGGAGTATAGCTGATTAACAATGTTATGATAGTTTCAGGGGAACAGCAAAGGGGCTCAGCCATACATATACATGTATCCATTCTCTCCCAAACTCCCCTCGCATCCAGGCTGCCACATAATATTAAACAGCAGGATCTACAGTAGGGCCTTGTTGGTTATCGATTTTAAATATACATGAACATGTCAATCCCAAATTCCCTAATTATCTCTTTACCCCATTCTTCCCCGCTGGCAACCATAAGTTAATTTTCTAAGTCTGTAAGTCTGTTTCTATTTCATAAATAAGTTCATTTGTATCATTTATTTTCAGATTTTGTATATAAGGGATGTTATATGATCGTTTTCCTTCTCGGTCTGACTGACTTCAATGAGTATTTCTTGAACCTAAAAAATTTGAGTCCTCAGAACTGAGAGAACACGGGGTGTCAAGCAGAGTGAATATAATAAATGCCCATCTAGACCCAAAGGAGTGAAGCTTCAGACACTTGTGGTGGGGGAATTGTTATTTGTGCAAGTGTTTGCGATGGAACCAGAAGAGGGGGTGGGAGCTGCCAGGTCCCGGGAGAAGCAAGCACAGAACTGAGGGCTCAGGCATTCTCTGGTCTCAGACTGTCCTGTGACTTTACAAATCCGCAGTGCCTCGGGACATTCCTGCAAACAGGATTCTGGAGACTCCTTAGGGAGCGTGGATGGAAGGATTTTGTCGTTACTGTTATTTTGGTTTTTTAACACAATAGCTAACAATTTAGAGTTCATAAAGCATTGTTTACACATTAGGCTGAACCATCTTAAACTACCATTTCTGAGAGTGAAAAGACCATTGAATGCTGGCAGTTTCCTAGAATTCAACCTCATACACGATTTCATTTCATACTCTTAACTCTGTGAGATTTGCCCTATTATTATCAACTTTTTTTTTTTTTTTAAACAGAGGAGCAGCCAGTGGGGCAGGAAGCTTAAGACCATAGACGGGGGCTTTAAGACGGCTAAACGGTGGGGAAGGGGTAGTCTGCTTGGCTCCATCTCCCTGCCTGATTTGGGTAGTGCTTCCTCCATCTGAGAAACGGGAAACACACGTCATGATTCCCTCTCCCCGCAGGAAGATCATGCCTGTCATAGAGCTCATCTGTCATCTAGGGAGATTAGCCTCAAGATGATCAGGGGCAAAAAAAAGGCTTTTGCCCACAGACCTTGGCCTTGACATTCAGTCAGACAACATGCTTCAGGTATAACATATGAGCTGGAGGAACATGTGTCAGAGCAAGTGCGGACTGTATATCAGACATGATGAGGTGGGTAGGGAAGAAAGAATGACTGCTGTATGTGTCGCAGCTGCTAAACGCTCTGTTTGGAACCCTAAGCAACCGGTGTGCTGTTTCCCTGCACCGACAGTATTCCAGGAGGAAAGCCTCCAGGCCTGGATGACATCCTTAGCAGGCCTGAGATTTTCTGCTCATTTTTAGAATAGGGCCTGCAGTCTCTTGGGGTTGCAAACACAGTCTGGATTCAGTACTTGGAATGCAAATACAAGGCTTTCATCAAAACTCAGGACTTCTTTTTACCTTAAATCCTCTCTCTTCCCCCGGCCTAGCCTGCCCAGCTGGACCCTGCAGTGGGGACAGTGGAGAGAACTTGGCTTCTTCTGTGGTTTTCCACTGGGTCTCCCCAGCCAGTTGCCATGGCTACAACTCTGCTACTCCACGGGAGCAGGCGGTGAAGGGGCAGCAACAGCTGGCAGTTGACTTCAAGCTTCCTTGCCAGGCAGATGTTGAATTCTGCCTCTTTCTCATGGAGTGCTTTAATACCCTCTCCACAGGCTTCCCACTCAGCCCCTTTCTTCCCAAGTTCCCCCTAACCTGTGGTTGTATCTCAAGTCCAATCTCATTTCAGCTGGTCATCTGGGGGTTCCTCAGCACTAATCTTTAGCTAGCGGGGTCCCTCCACACAGGACCCAAGACATGGAGCCCTCGTAGGCTCTCTGCTGTGAGGTCCACATCTGACCAGCAGAAACTCACATGTTTCCTGTATACCAAAAAACTCTGGGAGAGGGAGGTGGTCCCAGGATGATGGCAGCCGCCTAATAAGAGCAGCTAGTGCGCCCTTCTCTTATCTTCCAGACTCTCTAAGTGGGTGAGGGCCAGGCCCCCAGGATTCAGATCCAGGGTTCATATGTTAAGCACTTGGAGTAGCCCTCTCTACCCCCAGACACTAACCCTCACTAGGTCTGAGGTGAGGGAGCAGGCACTCACCCCAGCCCCAAGATAGGACTCACAGCACAGATTTCTTCAAAGAAATCCTCCTCACAATATCCTCCTCCCTCCTCTATTTCTACTTTTTCAGAGTCTCAAAGGGGGCAAAGGTTTCAAAAGTCTTGGAACAGATGTTGGCATTTCCTTAGAAAATCTCTAGAAGGTGACTTGGCATCGCACTTTGGATTTTCACATCTATAATACATGTTAATGCCTGGTGGAAAATCTAGTTTTAAGGTCCTGTTACATTTATACACATTGACTCTTTTCACAGTCATAGGAACAGATAACTTTTTTTTCATTTTTAAGGATGAGGAAAACTCATCTCTGAGGACTTGTTCCCAAGCTCACAGAAGTCATGGAGGAAAGAAGCCCAAATGGACTGAGGAAACACTGAGGCAAAGCCATGGCAGGGATCCCAGCACAGAGGTGAGGCCAGGGTCACACAACCAGTCAGTGATGGAGCTGGGATTCCAACCAGGTCTGTCTAGGGTTGCCTGGGAGGGGTGTGCTCACTGGCCACAGAAAGAAGCTGAAGGCCCAGAGGGAAGTGCTTCCTTCGTTTGGGACCCAGGACCCAGGTCACCACAAGAGGCTCTGGGCTACTACAGGGCTGACAAAGGTCAGCTCCTATGACTCGGTCCAGCCTACACCCTCACAAGACGCAGTGGGACCTCGTTTCAGAGAGAGGGATGGGAGGACTTGGGTTGTGCAAAAGACCGATTATTCTACTGATCTGCCAACAACCCCATCTCAATGTGACTTTCGACTCAGAGGAGGGTGCCAAGAGGCCTGACTCACCTAGTCCAACATCCAATCCAAACACTGTGAGGAAAGGGCTCAGCTCAGCCAAGACTATAACTACAGGAGGACAGGGAATCTGTGCTGGGATCCCAGCCATGTCTTTGCCTCAGTATTTCCTCGATGTATTTGGGCCTTCTTTTCTCCATGACTTCCGTGAGCTTGGGAACAAGGCATGCTGGGACTTCAGCAGGTGGTCCACAACTACTGCAGGAAGGTGCTGAGAGGTGAGAGATGGAGGAACTGACTTACCTGGTCCTTAGAGGAGGGCGAGCATGTGGCACCAGCCAGACAGCAAGAGGGGCTTAGTTTTGTTGCTGATGAGGTCCAGTCCGGTGGACAGTTCCAACACAGTAGTTATTAAGCCATGTTCCAGGTGGGATGGGAGTGAGGAGGGAGGTTCGGGAGGGAGGAGATGTGTATATATATATATAAAATTATGACTGGGGGGCTTCCCAGGTGGCGCTAGTGGTAAAGAATCTGCCTGCCAATGCAGGAGACTCAAGAGACTTGGGTTTGATCCCTGCGTTAGGAAGACCCCCTGGAATAGGAAATGACAACCCACTCTAGTAGTCTTGCCTGGAAAATTCCATGGACAGAGGAGCCCATGGGGCTGCAGAGTCAGACACAACTGAGTGACTGAACACATACACACAGTTATGACTAATTCAAGTTGCTGAACAGCAGAAACCAACACAATAAAGCAATTATCCTCTAATAAAAAAAAAAAAAAGCCATGTTCCATTCACAATGCAGTGACCACTGAACATCATAGCATAGAACACTTAATTATATGAAGAGATATTTACAATATTATTTAATGAAGACTATGTGGAAAGAACCCAGGTCTCCTGCATTCAATCCCTAGGTCAGGAGGATCCCCTGGAGAAGAGAAGGACAACCCACTCCAGTATTCTTGCCTGAGAAATCCCATGGACAGAGGAGTCTAGCAGACTACAGTCCATGGGGTTGCAAAGAGCCAGACATGACTGAGTGACTTTCACTTTCTTCATGTGAAACAGAATTCTATATTTATAAAAGCAGTGCTGTTGCTTGAACAAGTTTTCCTAGAGGACAAGCCTAAAATTAGGTGCTGTCTGAGTTCTTGGCTCCATTGATCACTGTGGGTCCTGAGATAACACCTCTTCAAATAAATTTCTTATCTATCCTCAGGTTGCAGTCAAAGGCTTGGGGTCAGTACAGGGTCCAGTCCCTTTCACTTCCTGTGGTCAGAACCACTCACCTCCATCTCTCCTACAGCCCCTCTCAAGTGTCTGCTTGTCGGTCTTCTACACCCTCTGTAAACCAAGGGAGTTGTCATACTCCCATGTCACTTCCCCAGACAACTGGGCCACTCATTGGGAACCCATCTGTTGAATGAAACCTTCAATGATTCCAGGAAGCTACACCCAATTCTACTCCCAATTTCTGATGGGGGCTGCACCCCTGAGGTCAGAATGTATTTTTGGCACTTTCTCAATAAAGAACACATATATATACTCCCACATTTAATCTAGGACAATCTCTCTTGCAACAAAAACACAAACACATGTATAAATGTTCTTTTGTTCTTATATGTAATTGGTTCATAGTGAGTATATTTTCTGCCCCTAGGATTGAGCTAAATTCATATGTAGGTCTGAAAGACTTCTCTAAGAACAGTCTGTCAGAGAGGCAATTCTGCTGCCCCACTACAAAGGTGCAAGACAGCCTGGCTTCTCCGGGTCATAGCGCCTCAAACCTCTGTGTGCCAGAAGAGGGTCTTTGCAGGGTTTGCACAACGATAGACCTGTAGGGAGATTACTCAGGACAAGGGGGAGCTATCTCCTGACACCGAGAACTGTTCTGCTTGTAGCTCCAAAATTGCAAGGTGTAGATTCTATTGGATTTGTTTGTTCTTACTCTTTCAATCAGGACAAAGGACTGACTTCTCATGTTATGTATTTATACCTGTATATGTATGCTGAGAGAAAACTCTGGAAGGAAATACAAGATGTAAAAAGTGATTATGGTAAAGGCTTAGAATTATTCTTATTTTTTAATTATTTTCTTATTATTGTTACCTGTGTTTTCCATAATAAACGTTCCTTCTCTATTTGCCAAAGAAGTCAAAGCCATTGTCTTGAACTGCCTCAAAGTCCTGTTGCCTCCTCTCCACCCCTTCCTTGTGAGGACACCCACCTCTGTGTCCATATTCATCCTTCCCTCCAAAACTAGAGACCAAAGTAGACTTTCTTTCTGTGTCCCGACTGCCTCTGCCTGTCTTCTTACTATGCCTAATATGTAAAACTGATCTATTAACACATTATAGAGGTGTTGTCAAGAATCATACTCCTGATAAATAAAAAGAGCTCTCTGGTGGTCCAGGGGTTAAGAATTCATCTGTCAATGCAGGGAACTCGAATTTAATCCCTAGTCTGGGAGGATTCCACGTGCCGAGGAGGAGTTAAGCCTGTGCATCACAGCTACGGAGCCCACATGCCCTAGAGCTGGTGCTCCACAACGAGAAGCCACCGCGAAGAGAAGCCCGCACACCGCAATTAGAGAATAGCCCCAACTGTCCACAATTAGAGAAAAAGGCCATGCAGCAACAAAGACCCAGTGCAGCCAATAAATTAAATAAGTAAGTATGAGCCCAATGAATGATAATGATGATCATTGTTTTGACTCAGTACCTCAGTTTACCTCATCTGTAAAAGGGGGTAGAGTGCTGACCTCATAGGTTTGTTGTAAGGATTAAAAGAGTTAAATATTTGTTTAGCACTTAAAAGAGCACTTGTACATAGTAAGGGCTCTATTAGTGTGTGCTAGTAATAGTGTTACTAGTACTAATTAGCATTATGATTATTACTGCATTCGTTCATTTCTGCCAAAACCTTGACTCATTAGTTCTCTTTCCCTGTCTCCCATATTTTAAGACTCTCTCTGTCTTCAAATTTCCTCCCTTACTTTCTTCAGAGTCAACTATGTCTCACCCCCTAAATTTACACTGCAATATTACTGACCTATCTGTATCTACCCTTCAAGTCCAGGAATCTGAAAAAAGCAGGTTTGGAGATTCACTTCCACATGTGCTCATATGCAGCTCACCATTGCCCATGACACAACACAGTCTTCTTCTTCCTCACCTGTCCAATGAGACTCCTTCAGCGAAGACCATAAATAGCCTTCCTCTGCCAAACTCAAAGGACACTATTCAGTTTTTATCTTTCTGGACCTTTCTTCCTTATCTGACCTCACCAAACGGGACTCTTTCCTGAAACTTTATCTTGCTGCTCCTGCTTGCCTCCTCCTCCGGACTCGGACTCCTTGCCTGGGTTCTTCCTCTGCCCTCCTACCTTAAACGCTGATATTCCCCAGGGCAGGTCTGTAGCCACCCACCTCCCTGGAAAAGCTCATCACAGACTCGATACTCATATCCTTCTCCTGAGACAACCACGTCTACACTCCTAGCTCTGGCATTTCCCCTAAGCTCCAGACCACATGTCCTAGTACACACTGGAGACTTACACTTGGAGGGCTCACATCATTGTCTGAAATTAAACTCAGTGTCTCAGTGGTAAAGAATCCGCCTGCCAACGCAGGGGACATGGTTCAATCCCTGATCTGGGAAGATCCCATATGCCGAGGAGCAACTAAGCCCATGAGCCCCAACTACTGGGCTGTGCTCAAGAGCCCAGGAGCCACAGTGACTGAAGCCTTTGCACCCTGGAGCCCGCGCTCCGCAACAAGAGAAACCACCACAATGAGAAACCCACACACCACAACCCAAGAGTAGCCCCTGCTCATCACAGTCAGAGAAAGCCCACGCAGCAACAAAGATTCAGCATAGTCAAAAATAAATAGATACATAAATAAATTATAAATAAATAATTTTTAAAAGAACATATAACATTAAAAAAATTTAACTTCCTTTTTTTTTTGGCCTTCCTTGCCTTTCGGGTTTTTTCCTTAAGGGGTTAAATTTTCGGTTGGCATGCCACCATCACCATCGCCCAGTGAGAGGCTCAGCGAACCTCCTAGGCATCTCCTCCCTCTAATCACACCTCTGCCAACAGAGCTCACCTCTCTAGCTTTGCTCAAACCCATCTACTCTCTCCACAGTCCCTGTCAGAGGCAGACACTGAAAGCCTGTCTCAGTCTCTCCTTCCTCCTCATAACCTTGCTCCTTTCACATTCCCCTCTTTTTCTACTTAATCATTCAGTCAGTCAGTCAACCAACAAGGATGGGTTGAACACTCTGCCAAACTCTAGCAATGTGGCAAGCAAAAAGACCATGCTGCTGAGGGAGCTCAGGATTTACTGGGAAAGGCCACCATCAACCCCAGTGTCATGAAATATGGACACACAGGGATCTCAGGAGTCCTGTCTGAACTAACAGTTGTGTAGATGTGGGTTATAATGATTTTGACTACAACATTTCAAACAAACAAGCAAAGATGCTCACTACCTTACATCTAAATACACAACACCCTGCTCTGGGGATTCTGGTATTTATCTTTTCCCTGTCTGTTTACACTGTATCCTACATACATATATATATGTAACTATATATAATACTCATGTTTTCAAATTTCATGTAAAATGTATCACACTCTACATGTCATTTCACAAAGTGATTTTTTTCTCAACATTATGCTTTTGAGATTTATCCATGTTTATATGTATGCACATTTTCACTGCTTTGTAGTATTCTATTTATTTATTCATTCTCTTGTTGGTGAATATGTGGATGGTTTCCAGTTTTCCCCTATTTTAAGCAATGTTATATTGGACTCTTTTTTTTATGATTGTCACAGGACTTTATTCATTGCTTAATTTTCTGGTAGCAGGACTGCTTTCAAGTGGAATCTGATGACGTGTACCATCTCCTAGTGCTCCTGCAAGGATTTCTCCAGAAGTCAATTGCAGAGTTGAAGGACATGCACATCTGAGGTTTATCAGACCTTGCCAGATTGCTCTTCAAAGTGATTGTACCAATTTATTTTCCCACCAGCTGCCTATGAAAGTTTCTGTTTGTCTACTCTACATCCTTATAAATACTTGGCAGTAGCCCTTTTTAATTACTTCACCAATATGATGGATGTGAAATGGTATCTCATGTAGTCTACATTTTTTTCCTTGATTATTAAAGTAGTTGCTCTTTCAGATTTCTTTTTGTCTTAATCACCCTTTCATATTTTTCTATTGTATTATTTATCTTTCCTATTTCACTTGTAGAATTTTTTTTTTTTACAAATTGTGATATTAATCTTTCGTCAGTTCTCTAAGTAGCAAATACCTTCTCCTAGTCTGAGTTTCATCTTCAGGTTTCTTTAAGATGTCTTTTTTGAACAGAAGCTTTTCATT